CTTTCTTCGTCCCGTTTCTTTGGGATGTTTAATCGAACACGGAATTCATAAAAAGATTGTTACATACAAATATATAAGCCCTAACGATGTTAATAATGATGGAAATTGAAATAGAGAGAATACTGATGATGTCAATGTAAAATGAAAAAAAAAGAAAGATTTCTCACACTAATATACATGGCAAATGACGAAAAAGAAAATGATGCAACGGTGATTTATATTGATTGGGTGCACACTTTTGATTCCTGGTACCACAGCCACTTAAACAAAAATTTAATTTGACGATTCACTACGACAGACGGAATTAAAGTAAAAAGATGGATAAAAAATTTCTGAAAATGGTCAAAATTAGGGCGATCGGCACAAATAGCCACTAACAGCTCATGTCTTTATTTTAAAGTCAGTGTTTTAAATGTCTTTAGTCTTTAGCCACTGGTTTAATAAACTTTAACTGCCCGGACAAAAATACCCTTCTGCTCATGTCCTTAACTTCAGGACTTCAAGACTACATGTCCTTAACTTTTGAACTTGAAACTCTAAGTTCAGGACTTCAGGACTACATGTCCTTAATTTTTGAACTTGAAACTCTAAGTTCAGGACTTCAAGGCTACATGTCCTTAACTTTTGAACTTGGAACTCAAACTTCAAGACCAAGCGTCCTTAACTTTTGAACTTGTAAGTCAAAGTTAAGGACCTATATTGTCCTTAACTTTTCAACTTGTAACTGTAAGTTAAGTACTGCTTGTCCTTAACTTTTGAACGTGTAACTGTAAGTTAAGGATTATCTGCCCTTAACTTTTGAACTTGTAACTGTAAGTTAAGGACCTATTGTCCTTAACTTTTGAACTTGTAACTGTAAGTTAAGGACTGCTTGTCCTTAACTTTTGAACATGTAACTGTAAGTTAAGGACTGTCTGTCCTTAACTTTTGAACATGAAAATCAAAGTTAAGGACCTATTGTCCTTAACTTTTGAACTTGTAACTGTAAATTAAGGACTGCTTGTCTTTAACTTTTGAACGTGTAACTGTAAGTTAAGGCTTTCAAGTCAGAAACTAAAAGGGACGAGTATAAGTTCAAATAACACACTAATTCAAATTCATCACGAGCTTACGGTGACTCCAGTTTTTCCTGTCGTAGACAGCTTCATTTGGTAAAGATGACTACAACAACAACAACGACACGAATTACTTCAACAAGACAACAACAAACTGACCGGAAAAAAAAAAGTTAAGAAAAATTAACTTAAGGAAAAAACTGATACTACTACTAAACAAAGACAAACCATGTAATATAGAGAGCCACCATTGTAGAGACGCTTAATGGGTTTGTCAACCGTAGATGAAAGCCTCCGAATAGCTATTGCCATTGCCATTGCCATTGCAGCTGTCCTCCTTCTGCACACACACACACTCAAAAAGTTGTGAATGTCTTTGTTTGAAGTGGGAGATCGTGTTTGGATGGTGAGAGAATTTTGCATAAATATTCTGGTCCAATCCACTGTAATTCTGTTTGGGAAGGAAAGGGTAACTCTGTCTTTTCATATTAATTTTAATAGACTAGTGGGGCTAGTTTTGCGCAGCATTAAAATGGTGGATAAAAAGTAAATACCACTTTAAATAGTGGCTACCCCACACAATTTTTACTCAAAATTATCAGTTCAACTAGACTAATTAATCTAAGAGTCTATTACTTAAATAGCCACTCAACTATCCGAATTATCTAGTAAAGTTATTTTTCTTTCGTCTGTAGTAGAAAAGTCACTTAACTATGCCTATAGCACGCAGAATGTCACTCAACTAGATTTCTTAAACTTTTGATGTCAAATATCTATTTTGCCAAAATTATCAATTCTTGTAATATTCTCTTTTTAATCTACATTATGGACTTACCTATAGAGAAAATAATTTTTATTTAAAAATATTCTAGCATAATTTTCAAGAATATATAATGTATATTATAAAAATATTTTATTTTGAATAATTATTTTTATATTATATGCATAAATATATTTTTTTAAAATCTTTATTGTCTGTCCTTCTCAATTGTGTAAATAAAATTTTGAGTTTTTTTTGTTAACAACAAATTTTTTATTACGAACAAATTATTCTAATTAAATTATTTATTATACTCAATATGTTATTGCTCTAACATTAGACATGCTTCATTACTATTTTATTTTATAAATAATAAAATTAATTTATTTTATAGGGAAGTCTATAATTTAAATTAAAAGGAGAAAAAAATCATATAATTATAAAGTAAAAAAATACAAAAGTTGATAATTTAGAGGGCAAAATAGGTATTTGACAATCAAAAGTTTGAAAAATCTAGTTGAGTGACCTTCTGAGTGCTATAGGCATAGTTAAATGACTTTGTTGTGACAAACGAAAGAAAAATGACTTAATTTCGATATTTGAATAATCATTTGAGTAATGACTCATTAATCTAATTAGACAAGGATTAGGATTTAAACTTCAGCAGTTAGAAAATCAGGGTAGAAGTGATCCAAACTTTACACGGCAAGGACTTAATTGGTACCAGAATTTAACGGACGGTAAAAACGGTCTATTTCGAATAGCTTAGGGGTATTTTGTCCTTTTCCCGTAAACACAAACAACGCATACTTCTTTTAAAACAATAGCTAGTAATTATTTTGTCTTCTCGGAAAGGGAAAAAAAACAAATCAAGTGACTCTCATTCTAAAACTAGATCTTCTATTTACGAAATCAAGGTTTACATCAATTAAGATTGATTATTCAGAGGAAATTTGCGTTGTTTTTAACTATAGTTATCATTTAGAGCTTGCAAGCGCAAAAATATATCGATGTCAATCGTAATCATTCAATGTTGGCACTTGGGAGGAGGAAGTCACTTGGGTAGCAAGCAGGATCAACAACAGACCAAAGGCTTATATTCTAGGATTTCTCTTTGCAGCAAATATCTATCATATATGGGCAGAGAGAAATGCAAGAAGATTTCAACAAAGAAAGCAAGAGGCCAGGCAGCGGGTGAAGGAAATAGTTATACAGTTATATGTTAAAGGACAAACAAATTGTAAATGGAAGAGTATATTAGATCGATTGAATTGTTACCCTACATAGATAGATTATAGTAGTATTGTTTTAATCTTCCCAGAGAACTAACTCTTGAGTCCAAAAGAGTTAGCTATGTATAAATCTTTACTTGGTTGAATAAAATTTTATTTTGACAAAAAAAAAAAAAAATCATTCAATCTTGATTCCCAGTTATTTGTATGACATGACTCAACTGAAAAATCAAGAGGTAAGCACTTTGTTTGAAGTGTAAACATGCTACTTTTATTTTTGCTGGGACGTCCTCATCTAAAGTACATTGACGCAAGAAATTTAACAAAGTAGTTTATCCCTCAAATGCAGGCTGTCAATTCTTTAATTCCCAACACCGAAAAAGAGGACAAATTTATTTACTGTATTTGGTCAACCCCTTCAAGAATTTCCTTCTTTTCTTGTTCTTGTTTAATTTTCGTAGCACCATGTTGCAGTAGTGGATGTAGCATAGCAGGTTCTACTAAACCCAATATTTTGGATGTATAGTGTAAAATATATAGGCGAAAACCACTAAAATTTTTAATGGATACTAATTTTTGAACTTATAATTTCAAATCTAGAATGAGTTCAGCTTTGAAAACTTTAAATACTGAACTTATTGAGTTTAAATTTTAAATCTGATCTAATCCATGTTGGCCTATGTATTTTGGAGAGTGCATGTGCTGTACGATTAAGGGTCGTTTGGTATGCGGGATAAGGTTTGAGAGTAAATTTATATCGTATTTGGGTGACGATATAAATTTATCCTGAAATAAATTTATACTGTCAATCAAACATGGTATAAATTTAATACCAAACTTAATCCTGGATATCCTACCTCATTTCACCTAATCTCATCAAACTTGGGTTTATTTTATTTTACCTTCCAAGTAGGAGAAAATTAGTCCAAAAATTATAATTTTGAAATTATAATCCCGGAATAATTTAATCCACGTACCAAACTACCCTAGTTCTCATTTAAGGACTAGCAAACATAATCCTCTAGAGTCTAGACCATACATTTTAAGTTCTTTGGCAATTCGTTTGATTTTTGTTACTCCTACCTATATTACTTGGAATTTAGCTTGTTAGATTAGCTTTATATCAATAATTGTGTCATCGCAGTCAGGATCAGTACTGCAGTGCAATTTGCATTATTTTTAGGTCAATTTTTTCTCTTAGTAATTTTATAAGTTGCCTAAAATAGAAAAATGGTGGCGTCACAGTGTGTGGGAGAAGGAAGCACGTAGCGGAGCAGCTGCCATAAATGCCGACAAGTTCCCTCTCTTCCCACCGTTTAACTTTCTTCCCTTTGTTTCCTCATTTTGAAGCACAACCATTCCTTCCCATTTTTCTTTTGCATTTTGTCCCTTATATCCGCACACTGTTTGCTGGGACTACAATGTCCATTCTTGATATTATATTTGTCTTTGAAACTAAATGGATAGTCAATTTATGAACTTAATCAATCGCTAGTTAATTTTTTTTTAAGTTTTATGCACCATATAATTAGTAAGTAAATTGTGTTTAGGTGGGATAAGTGGACCTTTGGCTCGTAGGGAAATTTTAAACAGCTCCGATCCACCGAAGGCAAAGCAGCACCAACAGCAACAACAACAACAAATTCAGTATTTTGGGAACGATAGAAAGTGTGCAGACCTTATTGTAAAGGTTAGGGGCTGTTTCCCATAGATCCCGGCTCAAAGATAAATGAAAAAGAAGCAGAAATAACAATTGAAACATCAGCGAGATAGGTGATAAAGTGATAAATTTCGTACTTTCTTCTTTTTACCACGCGATAGATTAGTGAAGCAGCACGGTGAGGGAAAGGCCAATGGAGACAAAATAATCGAAACAAATGAATGAACCAAGGCAAAGATCTACACAAAAAAAACACACAAAATCCGGACCCCAGATATAAATGGTAAAGAGCTTTGTCTAAATTAACCACACTAATAAAAACCTTAGAGCTTCAAAAATAAAGATTAATTTTCATAAGATACAATGAAATTTAATTTTTCCAAAGGTACAGGCTTTTTGCAGGTGTATAAGACGTCACTGAACTGAAATACTGAGCAGACACGCCATCTTAGTTTCTATTCTCGTGCTTACTGTAAAGTAATTTCAGTGACCCTTCACTTTTACCTCCATTGGCGAAAAAATGTTCTGAATTCCAGTGAGGAGCATTCATGTTTGATGCTCTCACCCTAGGGAGCACATGTTTTACTAACCCAGCTCCAGTAAAAATCCATCTTTTTACCCCTCCCATTAATTACCTCACATATATAAAAGATAAAGAAAATAATGGAGTATTAGGGTTTTGAGAGAGAGAAAAGTATATAAGCAAGAATCAAGTTAAAAAGACCATCTTTTTTATTCTTTTTCTTTTGCAGGTTGGGTAATTTATGTCCACACCTTAGCTCTTTCTCTTATCTTCTCTTCTGATCATCATCTTTCTCATCACTAATCATTTTCAGTCTCTTTTTTCTCTCCCTTTGTCCCCTCCTCTCACTATCTAATTTTTTTTTATATACAACCCCACTTTAGATCTATTTTCTTTGAGGGGTGATGTAGATTTTTTTCTTGTAGTCAAATTCCAATAATTACATAATATATATAGCAGATACATATATTTATAAAGTAAAAAAGGGTGTAGGTGGGGAGGGTGGTTGAAGAGAGAGCAATGGAATTTGATGAAGAACATGAGGAGCAAGAAGAGGAAATTGGAAATATTCACCAAATATCATCAGCTGCGGCAACTATTAATTTCCAAACACAAGGAAATAATTCAGTTAGAGGAGGAGTTGAAGAAGGGGTTTCAACTACTGTTAGAAAGAGTGGTGTTAGGTATAGAGAGTGCTTGAAAAATCATGCCGTGGGCATAGGCGGACATGCTGTAGATGGCTGCGGAGATTTTATGCCCGCCGGCGAAGAAGGTACTCATGTTGAAGTGTATGACTATCTTATTTATAAGCTTAAATTGTTAAAAGATGTATATTTTTAATTACTAATTACATTTGTTTCACAACATCCTTCACGTGTGATTTTTTAGTTACTTACTTATATTATGCCGCAACAGGTACTATGGATGCTTTGAAATGTGCTGCCTGCAATTGCCACCGGAACTTCCACCGGAAAGAGGTTGAAGGAGAGGTGTTCCACCATACCCCTCCACCCCACCTAACCCACCACCACCCCCAACCCCATCATTCCCACCACCCCCAATTTTCTCCCTACACTTCCTACCGAACCCCTCACCACCCATCTGGGTACCTACACGTCAACCCACCACCCCACCAAAGACCCTTAGCACTACCATCAACTTCTAGAGAAGATGAAGATATGTCGAACCCGAGTAGTAGTGGGGGTGGGGGTGGGGGAAGTGGTGGGGTGGGTGGTTCATCAAGAAAGAGGTTTAGGACAAAGTTCACAGCAGACCAAAAGGATAAAATGTTGGCATTTGCTGAAAGATTGGGGTGGCGTATGCAAAAGCAAGATGAGGCATTAGTGCAGCAGTTTTGTGCCGAGACAAATGTTCAGCGCCATGTTTTCAAAGTTTGGATGCACAACAACAAGCACACTCTTGGTAAAAAACCCTAAGAACATTTTCTCGATCACTATTATGCTTTTCACCTTTTTATGGGTAATTAAAAGAAAGCATCTATTTGATGGAGGAGCAAAATGGGAAGACGGCAGCTAGCTAGATATAATATCACTAGCCAAGGATTTGTTGTAAGAGATTACTTAATTAACTTTTTTGTTAGGGTTAATTCCTAGCTAGACATTTTTAGTCACCTTGGTTCTTCTTTATTTATGAAATTCCATTTGTCCACTTCAAATTCGATCTGATTATTTTTGTACGTGTTCTTGGGCTATTTTCTGTGCAATTAATGATGATTTCTAGCTAGTAGGTCAACCATTGGTAGCACTTATTAATTTAAGCACTTTTCTTCGTGTTAATCTTGATATTTATTAATTTTTGTAAAATATGATATATGTTGGCATTTTCTTGATACATCAGCTAGCTAGTGTGTTACTGTTATCATATGATCAGATTGGTGAATGAAGAATTAAGGGATGAATTTGTGGGAAGAAAAATTGGTACGTGTTCAACATGCAAAGGCTACAGTTTGTAAGGCGGGTTTGTTTTCCCCATCTGTCAATATTTCTCTTCTTCACATGCTCCATTGCGGCCGGGCTTAATTACTTTTAGCACTCTTCAAAGCTTTTCTTTTGTTTTCCATGCTGCAGCATTAACTTCTTTCTCAACTTGCACTTTCATTTACATCTGCATTTTGTTTTTCAGTAGTCTTGAAAGATAAGATTATACTCCTATATATGGTTGTTAAAAGCTGCTGCTGACCTTGCCTGCAAAATGCAAACAAACTTATAGCATAGGGTATTACTAGTTCTTCAATACTCAGCTTATTGCCTCCTTCATCTACCTTCTTCTTAATAAATACCCCTAATTTCCTGCTTTCATTGAAGGAGATTTTTTTTTTTAAAACTAGAGTAGAAAGGTAGATTAGCTCATTCAAATGCTATGTTAGTACTATATATATGACATATTAGTAGGGGCGAAGCTACGTGTAGCTAGGATGGTCAACTGACACTTTTTGTCGAAAAATTATATTGTATATAAGATAAAATATTAGTACTACTACTTATTGTTGATAAAAAGAATAAACGTTAAACATCATTTCATAGCCCACGGGCAAAGGTTGTTCAAATTCGAAACCCTTATCAGATTTCCTGGTTTCGCCATTACTTTATTAGTATTGTTTGTATTAGGATCATAGGATGTTCTTAAATAATGTCTTATTTTTAAGTGGTATCGCTTCTTCATGGATTTAGTAGTTAAAAAACTTGGTCACTTTTTTTTTTAACCCTCATGGGTTGGCCTGGTGGCAATTGACTTGAGCTCCCTTTCAAGGTCTCAAGTACGAAACCCACTGGGTGCAAACAATTTCTGAGGGCCATCGGACTGGGTAAAACCTGAATTAACCGTGGTGCACTTGCCGGAAATTTCTTGCCGAGGGCCTGTGCACCCCCGGGATTAGTCGGTGCTCTAAGAGACTCGGACACCCGGTGCAAATCAAACAAAAAAAAAACTTAGTCACTTTTATGGCACATCTTAATTCCTTAAGCTATATTATATAGTACATGTGATTGTTTATAGGTTAGAATCTTCCCCAACTTATGTTGTTTATACACATGCATGAATCAGCAATAACAATACACTACATCCGTACTTCCAACCATGTATACGCGAATGTCAAGACATCCTATATGACTGTGTATGTGTAATTGTACCCCACTTACGATGACAAGCTTGTATTTGAATTGAAGAAAAATAATTATATAAAGATGTCTTGTGTCTATTGATAGATCTTTTATGTTAATTTTTATCAATATATATATATATATATATATATATATAAGTGAGCTTATATTTGGAAAGAACTACATTATTAATTCCCCTTCACTCTGATGAGTTATCCGGTACATATGCTAGCTAGTCGGTGCATGTTGAAGTGAGTGAGGATCAATTCATAAAAAAGCTTAAGCTATTTCAGCATGCACACTTCTAATTACTTAATAACACGTGGAATTTATTTATTTTCCTTTTTCTTAGTGGATACGACGGTGAGATTCCAAGCCAGAACTTCTGATACATGTAAAAGTATATGACCATCTATTTAACAGTTTAACAAGTATATAATGAAATAACTAGGTAGAAGATACCGATGACATCAATAAAAATTGTAGGTAGGAGTTGAACATACATGGATGGATGAACTGGGGTAGTACTAAGTTATGTTGGAGAAAGACTGGTCTAGTCAAGAAACTGTCGGAAAAATTATCACAAGATCGGTCTCATGTTGCTTTATTCCATTCCAGTATAAACATGTGGGGCTGTTTCTTTCTTCCCTATCTCATCACATAAACCCAAAACAGACATTAATAATTCTTGTGTTCTGATATATTACAGCTCATTTCCATTTCTAATATGTGGTCGTCTTTCAATACTGTGTCCTGTCCAATATCTTTTCGTGTTCATAATCTTTATAAATGAACTCCATTAACCAACTTCATGAACTTATTTTCTTTAACGTTTTCATGTAAAGAGTACAAGTAGGCCATGTGAATATGGTGTCATTAAGATAATGCATGCTTTTTTATTCGCATCATATCGTCTATATATGAAGGAATATTGCTCTGCTAGAAAAGGAAAAATATAAAGAAGATTTAACTACGGCTTTGAACACTGGACTTTTGGATTAGTGATACCCTTTGGCAATATCTAGATGCATTACCATTTAAAGAAAAAGAGACAAAATAAAATACTTAGAAGAGAAAGAAAAGCTACTAGCTCAAAGAAGTTGGTCACACAACGGATTATGACATTTTTAGAAGCATTATAATTGATGAATTTTGGTCGTTTTAAGGATAGCTAGCATTCATTCATCTGTCTATAATCATGGTGATTAACTGTTGTTTTGTTGTGTTCTGTCGGCTTTTTAGGGTTTTGGGAAGCTTAAAGTGAATTTGGATCCACGACAGTACCATTTCACCTATAGTAAATGAAGTGATAATACTTGTATGAAGTCAATTAGCTGAAAAAGTATGAATTCTTCCTATTTCCACAAATTCTGCTCTTTTTGTCTTCGTTTGCTCGATTGGATAACGTCCAGGATTTAGTTCTACCTCGCTTTCGGAAAAACACATTATGGTATCTTTTGCAAACGTGGATTTTATCCATAAAGATATTTCTACAATGGATACTTTATTTTGTAATTTAATGTCTGATTACTTGAGCGCAAAATTTTTGGGAAATAACTGCTATTAAAAATAATAGCCGGCAAAATATATATTTTTTGTATGTTATAATATACAAAAAAATATACATATTTAATGCGTAATCAATATATATTTTTGGTGTATATTGACTAGTAAATATAATTATTTTTCGTCGACCGACCAAATGTGTAACTTAAAACTATGATTGGTCAAGGCCGGATATGTTCCAGGATGCGATCCAGAGAAGTTAACATATGGAGCTAAAATGGCAAACTTATAAATTCACCATCCACAAACAAAATTCCAGACTTATCTACTGAAATCATTATACTAATATATTTAAAAAAATTAAGTCAACTTAGTTAACCGCGCTAGCTAGTCAAAGTAGGTTTAGTTTATTGATGAATAGGGAGTATTGCTTCTTGATGATTTAGAATTATTAAAAAAAAAAGTTATCTAAAACAAAAGCATACAAGTTAGGTTCTGAAATTAACAGATATAAGGTTTGAAAAGAGAGGAGGATACATCATATGATGGAACTTTGAAGTCATTAAATTCCTAAGATGCATGATTTGAACCTTAAGCCTCTCAACATCGAGATTATTTGGGTGGTCTAATCCACACGAATTTTCAACTAACACCTATCTTGATCTTTTATTTTGCTTTTTGTTAAGCTTTCACGCTATACATTTCTTCTACCATCCACGATTCAATCCATTGACCTCTGCACAGTGTAGGGTTTTGAAAATGGCATAATTAGCCAAATCACAAAAAGACAATTTAGTATTTGTCGAGCCTTGATAGGTTATTTGATTTAAACAAAAGAATGTGAGTATATAGTTCTGAAATTAAGAGAAGATATTAAAAGAGAATAGGAAGTAATTATATCATGTGATGGAACTTAAATTTAAGATTAAGATGCATGATTTGACCTTTAAAGCCTCCCTGCGTCGAGGATCCTATGCTGTTCCTTCGTCTAATCACATGAATTTTCAACTAAAAATCCAACAAAGTTTGTCATTCACTTCTCCCAAAATTCAATCCTTGACCTCTCAACAGGTTTGGGAATAGAATGGGCCCAATGACTTCTATTTGTCCAACCTTGGCATGCTATTTGACTTCTATTTGTTTGTCCTATCAATCACTTAGGAAACAGTCAGGTGCAATAAACTTTTATTATACAAACGATTCAAAGAAGAAGCAAATCACGTTCCACCTATCGGAAATAGCCTCTTTACCTATACAATGTAGGGGTAAATCTGCGTGTACACTGCCTTTCCAACTTCACTTATGGGATTTCACTGAAGTTGTTGTTATTATTGTTAAGGTGAGTCAGGTGCATTAAACTTTTACTATGCAAACGACTCAATGTTCTATCATTCACGCGTGGCATTATCTTGCACTTTTGCACGAAATCATTTTTACAATTTGAACTCTTAACTTTCGGGTCACACGACGTTATCAGTAAGCGGGCGAAGTGCACAATAATCACTTTTAAGACCGCTACTTAAAATACATCCACAATTTATAATGTCTTTAATAATTAGTCAACAGACTTCAGGACTAAGTATCCCGAATTTGAAAATTCAGGACATAAGATTCAAACTTTTGGACACAATTTTTGAACTTGAGGACACGATGTCCTGAAATTTGAACTTTGAGGTTTAAACTCTAGGACGTCGTGTCCTGAAATTTGAGCGAAATTGGTTAATTTTTAAATACGTTGTAACTTGTGGATATATTTTAAACAACATACTTGAAAGTGGCTACCTAGTGTCATTTCCTCTCAGTAAGCTGCAGCCAGCCCAGTCTGTCGGAGTCTCACTAACAAAAAGGAGTCAGGAGGAATTTGGAAGGCAGTCAAAAATCAAAATCTTAAAGGGAAAATTATCCAAACTGTCACTCTACAAACTTTCCCAACCAAAAATAGCCCGAAATAAAATATCTACTAAAAAAATCCCAAATGTCATTTTTGGCCCAAATAGTTTCAATTAATGTCAGTTTTTGTATTTGTTATTTTTGTATACAGACATCGAGTTTTTGTATATATGCGATTTTTTCCTTATAAATTGAAGCAAAATTGCTGAAATTAACGACAAAACAAGA